GGAGCAAAACATCAAAGGAAGTTTGGTATGACTAATTATTATGTTTTAATTGAGACATAAAACACCACCAATCAAATACCCTCAATTTAATTATCACTAAGGGCATCTCCAATGGTAATAGTTATTACTAGCTATATAGTTAGCTGACGTGGATGTGAGAGATAAGAAAAATGACTATTTTACACTATTGGACCCACATACTCCTCTCACATGATCTTGGGCTACGTGAAATAGATAAGCTATTTGTTTGTAGCTAGTGACTACTCTCTCTCTTATTTTTTCCCTGTCCACGTCATAATAGTTAGCAAATAGCTAACCATTGGAGACGCCCTAATGTTTATCTAGTTATTACTAAAGTAATTGACAATATTAATGCTAGATTCCTTGATTCCTACAAGAAACAAAAAGGACATGCCAACCCATCAACACCTCAATAATAATAATAATAATAATAATAATAATAATAATAATAATAATAATCTATCTATACTTATATAAAAAGGCATTATATTTATTAGAATTAGTAGTAAGAAAAGTTAAAGGTAATTAATGCATTATATTTCCATCAAGTATTTTATTTAATTATTTTAGTTAATTATTTTTTCTCGTAACACCTTTTCAATATTGTGATTAAAAACCAAATTTTATGTTTAAAATCTTGTGAAATTATTATTATTATTTTTATAAAGTACATATTATTTGTTAAAAAATTATATATATCCCTCCCTATATATAATTCCCGAATGCGCTGAGCCTACGTGGCTGATTCTGGTGCTTCGTAATCCTACTTGGCGAAGAATCATGCTTCGTAATTAGGTTTGGACAAATAATATTGATATAATAATAATTAATAATCTAGGTTCGGACATTCCATAAATATTTATCTAACTTGGGTATTTTAATATCACTTGTACTAATATAACCCTTTAATTATTTGTAATTTTATATAGTGAGGCACTAAGTTACTAATAAATCCCTGACTTTGATTTGTTTCCTTCAATTAGCTATTAAATTGTAAATGTATTTTAAAATTTGATAACTTTTGTATTTCTTATCGGTTTTACATATATTATATATCAAATTAATCATCTTTTGATGATCTTCTATTTGACATCCATATTGTATATATGAAATAAATAAATTATATTTATCTTTATAATAATAAAGAATAATAATATTTATTAAAATTCATTAGAAAAGTAAAATTATTTATCAATTGATATATTTATTTTTAATGTAGTAATATGTTGTAAGTTAAAAAAGTATTATAATATGACACAGGTAAGTCGAACAAATAAAAATTGTCATACTAAATATATAATAATATATATAAATATATTTTTGTAAAATATATTTAAAATTCCAACTACTTTTTCTCATTAATTTTAGATTTTAAGAAAAAAATTAGCAAACACCCGTGTAATACATGGGTGTTGTACTAGTATATATATAATACACATCAGAGTACCATGGTAGATGATTTAAATTTCAACTGATCAAAATGCCAATATTTAAATTTGAACACACCTATGCGTCTGACCAAATGTCTGGATGATTTAAAATTGAGCCCATCAAAAATTATTTAAATTTGAACACACCAGAAATTTTATATAATTTTTATTTATAAATATATTTAAAGTGGTATTTAATGGCTGTTATATAAACTATTTTAATATATTTGCAATGAATAAAAATTTGAATAAATAATTTGTAATTTTATTCATAATGTTTGTGACTTATGAGACACGAACACATAACTCCATACATATTTATCAGAGGGCGGCTTAATAATTTTTTAGACACAACGTTGATTAAAAGAGGTAGAAAATAGATAATAACATTATTTTTTTTAGACTTAAACGGACAAGGCTGTGAAAATAACTCATTTAATATCTTTATCCCGTGCACGGGATACATACTAGTAACCCATTAACACCTCCAAAAGGAAATATAATAAAGAATTAAATGAAATGAAAAAAAAAA